GCGGCGGGAGCTCCAAACCTCTCAGTTCCAGTCCCACTCGGAGAGCCAGCTCCTGGTTTCGACCTCCTCGCCCTTTGCCCGTTAGCTCCACAGTCGGCTCTCCTCCAGCTAACACACATGTGGCGCCCCACCCCTCGGCGCGCTCTTCGCCCAACACCTGCATGGTTCGACACAGGTCCCAGCTCTCCACGCCGACCTCCGGTCCGAGCCTCAGCACTTCGGCTGCGATCTCCGGAGGCGGTTCCTCCCGGGAACAGGCGAACCGGGCCAGCAGGCCGTACAGCCTGGAGACGAGCCTCACGTTGCCGCAGACTCCCGGTGAAAGCACAACAGGACGGAAACCCAGCTCTCGAACTCGCTGGCCAGCACAGGTGAGCGCAACGGTGTTGGAGCCAATCACAGCATTGAGAGCCTCTCCAGGTGAATCTGAGTGCTTGTCATTCTCTTTCCAGCGGGGACCCTGTCTTGCAAGGACCTGCGTGACTGAAGCTGGCATGGAGCTGAGAAGCTTGTGTCGTTCAAGGATGGATGAAACCTCCTCCGGCCACACCTTGCATGTCACTGTTGGGCCGCTTGCTATCAAATCAAGAGGGTCCCCAATCACGTCAGACAGTATGAGTGAAACCACCTTTGATGAAATGATTGGAAAATCAGAAATATGCTCTTCTTTTAACAAGCAAACATTGTTAAAGGGGCAGTATTATGTTTTTTCCAGCCACGTGTAGTTACATTTTACAGCACAATCAAGTTAATGCATATGACGTAAAAGTAGAGGTTCAGCGACTGCAGTTTTCTTTTCGATCACAGAAAAAAAAAAAGCCTGACCTGATGATTCAGATTTTTTTGTCTGAATTGTTGCTAAATAAAGCAATAAAGTTAACAGTGTGGTGACTATTGTTAACTGCAGACATGACCTGCTGTCAGTCAAACCTCTACCATGGGAGAGCAGAAGAGGATAGTGGTTGATTTCTAGCACTCTGCCAAGGTAGATAATATCCGTGGATAAGATTGGCTTCATATGTAAATACTGACCGATCACCAATTCCCCAAAGTTAAGGAAATTGAGACGATTTATCGATGCACCCCGAAATTTGACTTTGTAATTTAGCACCTTAAAATTGGGCCTCTGTCACTTTAAAAACTCCTGCGCTTTCTGAAACTCCACCTTCAGGAAGCCATCACAACATTGCTCCTCTATTAACGCTGAGCAACGTTTTTACCTGCATTTCACTGAGAAGGAGCTCCTACAATGAGCTCAGCAGATGCACAGTTCCACCAGCTGTTTGCTAATGGCTGCTGGCTAGTCTGAAGGAGCTCAGTGGGGGGGGAACTTTGGCTCAGAGGAGGAGCTGAGTCTCGAAGGAGGGGCTAGGTCCACCCAGGTGTTTTGCGGAGCTGAATGGTTGCCATGGAGATTAAAGAATTTCTCAAACATGCATTAAAGAATCAAGGCGACACATCTCCAGGTATATTTTTGATGAGGGAGTAACATTATAACATGACGTGAAACTCAAAAAAGTAGATTTTACATAATATTGCCCCTTTATACAACTGCTGTGAGTTACCTGTGCGGGGTGAGCGTGGTGTGCAAGCCCTCCACCCTTCAGCAAAGAGAGCGCTCGACGAACTTTGTTGAGCTCTTGGATGGTCGCGCCAGCAGCTGCAAGTCTGCGAGTTACATCAAGCTTCTCCTGCAGCGAGATTGGAGGTATTGGTGCTGGTAGCAGCGCAGAGCCTCCGCCTATAAGGAAACAAACCCACAAGTCACTGGAATAATTGTCCAAATGTAATTATAACATGTTCTAGTTATAAAATGCTTGCACATTTGGCTGAAATATGGCTATTAAATAAGCAGATCTGCAGTCATTATTGATGAAGTTGCTTCGTGAACTGTCTGTTGGTTTATAGTATGATTGGTTTACTTCCTTAGCACTTTTTTTGCTATAACCTGGTACCACACATCTCTTATTTTAAAAGATTACTGAAATGTTGTACATTGTCTGTGTGTAAATAAATAAACAGTAAACAGGGTAGAAATCGGTGGTAGAAATCATGCGCTTTTACCTGATATTAGTACAAGCAGTAAATCTTTTTCTGTCAACTCAGTAGCTAACTGCTTGATGCCTTCGGCCGCCTTCAGAGAGTCGTCATCAGGTAGGTTGTGTTTGGCTCCCTCCATGACTTTGATCCGACTGTTTGCTTCTAGCAACAAATGGCTGTGATGGATAAAAAGCATAAAATGTCACATATATCCATATTACTTGTGTTATTTTAGGTAGTTTTCAGAAATTAGATAAACATTCCCTGAAATTGTTCACACTTTCTAACACAAAGTGGTAAATAATTGCTATAGGTAAAAACTTTGGATTAGTTTAAAGTACGGAATGCTGAGACTGTCAAGACTTTCTTTTATAATGTGAGCTGAGGACTATATTTGTATTATTGCTTTAATCTTATTTTTTTCTTGTTCTTAGTGTTGTAATCTTAATTCATTCTATTGAATTGTACAGCAAATTGGTCAACATTTGTTGTTTTATAAATAAACTGACATTGACATAAAAAAAATTGTCTTTATTATATGATTCCTTGATTTTCAGCTCTGACCAGCTTTCCTTTCCCTGATAAAAAAAAAAAAACATTGTCCCACAGGATGATGCTGTCAACGCCATGTTTTATGGTGGGAATGGTGAGTTTAGAGTGTAGTTCAGTGTTAGGTTTTCATCTTTAATATTTAATCTTTCCTGTGTAGGCCTAAAAAGTTTTATTTTGGTTTCACCTGACCAGATTGTGTGTGAAAAACTGCAAAATACACTTTTCATTTTTCTCCATAATGGCTTTCTTCTTAACAGTCTTCCATAAAAGTTGGATTTGCAGATTGCACAACTGATAGCTGTCTTCATGAGCTGTGGATTCCTGCATCTCTTCCAGAGGCTTTCACAGAGAAGCTGGACTTATACTGAGATTTAATTACAAACAGGTGATCACTATTCATTTAAGATGCTGACTGGATTCATTTGAATTGAAAATTAAGTTGGTGTTTGTTACAAATAACAATAAAAAAAACTAGTAAGAATATTTTTGTGATGCACTATGGCTCCTGCATCATTTGCTCACCTTTTTCCATGCTGTTGTAACGTCTGCTGTATCCCATGCGGCACGCTGATGACTCCTCTAACTAGATGATCGCCCAAAATCCTCTCTACCTCTGCAGCCATTCCCAGAACCGCTTTCCCAAACCCCACCAGGTGCAGGTTGTGACTGAGTGTGAGTCTGCATCCGTCAATAACGACCGAGTCGCCGTTGCGCTCTATGCTCTGCCGCACCACGGTGTCCGGCTGCACAGCTTCCACTGCGGCTCTGAAGGTCTCCCGCGCTTGTGAGTCCATGGACATGTTGCAGAACGTGGGGTTTCTTCTTCCCAGGAGGCCCAGAAAAGGTTGAGGCCGGAACAAGGACAGGAAGCGGGCCATTGCCACCTCAGCAGGTCTGAGGAATCGATACAGCAAGATGGGTTGAGTTAGAAAAGCATGTTAAATTAGGAAGGTGAGACTTAATACTATTAAATGTCTTAATACTATTAAATGTCTTCCATTTAAAACCTAATGAAAACTACATGCATACAAAGTGGTATAGTAGTGTTATTTGTAAAATGTACATCAGTTTAAAATGATCAATTACTGTAAACATTACAATGCTTTCAAAGACCTTCAGATAAATTTAAAGCAAATTTCCACAGTCAAGATGTGCAACATGCTATTTGGACTCACAAAAAACATTTCAAATGTTTATCTGACAATTTAGTTTAGAAAGCATAGATAAAATGCATGTACATTTACTACCTTAAATTGTTTTTCAAATGAACAAAAATGAAACATTGAGCATATTTTACAAACCCAGCTACTGTGACTCTCTTCAAATCTGGTTTTAAGCCTGCCTACCTGTGTGGGTGGTTTAGGGCGATTGCAGCCTGCAGATTCCTGCAGCAGCCTGTTGTGTGTGTTCCAGTTCAGCAGCGAAGCAAAAATCTAACCAAACAGTGACTGGAGTTGTTTAAACTCTGCTTAATGATTAATTTAAAGAGACCACTGCCCTTGTGAACATGCATTTCAGCTCTCCATTTATCTCTTCTTTACTTGCACTGATTAAAATTTCTACCAGATAGATGGAGATTTAAGTGAATGTGGCCTTATTTATCTTGTTTTGTATCAATTAATAAGACTGGTGGTGGAGGTGTAATGGTGCAGGGGTCATTTTCTTGACACACCTTGGTACAAACTGTTTAAAGACCAACGCTTACCCAATGCCACATTGTTTTCCTGAACAATGTTTCCCTGTTTGTTTTTTGATTTTTTTTCAGCCATATTGTTGAATGTGTGCCATAAAAAATTCAAGACAAAAGAAGGTCCAACTAAGTATGAGCAAAATGTATTGTCAGTGAGTGTATATTTTAGAAATACAGACCAGGCATACAAATATTAATACTAAAATTAAAGGTCCCGAAAAGTGGTCCTCATTATGAATACACATGTAATTAAATCTACTTATTTTTACAATTATAATTCTGAACGACTGCATTATTTTTATATGATCATGCACAACCAACCAAAACAATAATATGTAGTTCATACCTTGGAGTTTCCCTTCTGCGGGGTCAAAAGTCCTCCAGGAACTTTCTTCATCATGTGTTTATTTTGCGGCGGGAGTAAAATTAAGAAACAGACAGAAAACAAGTCTCTGTCCTTATATGGGACAGGAAGCGCTGCTAGTGAACACACAACCTGGCAACTATTTGAGACATTTAAAACTAAGCAGGAAAACCGTATCAAATCCTGCTGCTTGTGCTGTTTATGTTACCACGCAAATCTCGCGATAAAACATCATTTCTGGCCACTGCGCGGTCAGGTGATGATTTGTGCGTCACTGACGTGGCGAAGGCGTTGCACTTTCGTCCCTCCTCTGCCGTGGACTTAAACTACCCCAGGCGGGATTTGGTTGTCGTTTTTGGGGACTTTATTTTCCCAATAACAACTTTTTTGCACCGCTTTTGTTCATATATCTCCATAAATCACCGTAACTGTGACCCTTGAGTCGATCTAAAGCGGGGCGAGGGCCAGCTTCCCTCAGACACAGACAGGCCACCATGAAGCTAACGGACAATGTGCTCCGGAGCTTTCGGGTTGCCAAAGTGTTCCGAGAAAACTCGGACAAAATTAACTGCTTCGACTTTTGCTCCAACGGAGAGGCAATCATTTCCAGCAGCGACGACGACTCCTTAGTGTTGTACGACTGCCAGGAGGGAAAGTAAGAGCGGCTCATCTTGCTTTTTTATGTTAGCTTTATGCTAAGCTAATAGCTGAGGCCTGCTGCGGTGCTTAGAGCGATGCAGCATGAAATTAAAAATAAATGAGTCTGCTGGTTAAAACTGGTCCGGTATTAACTGTTGTTTTTTAAAGCCCGTGTGTCATCAAATATTCAGTTTTATAGTCATCACAAGCAAAACACTTGATGAATATTATAACTGTTAAACTAAGTGGGAGGGGATGGCTAAATTGAGAAAATGCGCTTTAATTTCACCTAATATTTCTAGAGTTTTTAATAAATCGCTTAATTAAGACGACAAACAGGTGCTGTAGCAAGTAGGCGTTGTATATTTCGATCTTGAATATTTAAGCTGTTCTGCCGCCATTTCTCCTTTTGGTTAAACGGGGCTAGCATATTTAAAGTCGAAATACTTGTCTCATAGAGGGGAAGTTCAGTTGTCACAGCAGCAAGTTAAGGATAAGTGGGAACATGCATATTTACAGAAAGATAAGGAAAAAATAATGCTATGCGGTTGATAATAATGGTAAACTCAGATGATCAGGAATGTGCAACTGACTAGCTTTATTTGGAGCAGAAAATGTACATTTGCATAGATATTTGTTATAAAAAACTGCAAAAAGGGATGTTCAAATATGATCAGCAATGTTATTTGAAATTAGAAAAACTGCAAATAACAGCAAACTTATAAGACTTGTTGAAGCTTTGATGTTTATAAAGTCTGCTGGAAGGAAGGATCTGCGACAACGCTCATTTGTGCACTTAAGATGCAGAAGGCAAAAATGAGCTCTCCATTTAATGTTGAATTGGGAGTTTTTTAATGGATATCTGTCAATTTTATTGTGACTTAAATTAGATTTAGTTGTGAATACCAACTTGTTTGTTTGGAAGGATTAAAGTTTTTGCATTTTTGTATTACAATCACAAGTGTTATCTGATAGCTCAGGGATCGGCAACCTTTATGATCCAAAGAGCTGTTTTCACACCTAGTCCAAAATATGCCATTTAGAGATGCAAATGTTATATGAGCTCTTGAAAGAAAGACAACTTACAGATTTTGATAAACAGCTACAATAGGAAAAATTATGTCATTTCTAAAGAACAGTTATTTTATTCCTTTTTGATTGTTTTGAAACAAAGAAAAACATTTTTTTCTGGAAAAGAGGATGGATACATTTTCTTCTATGTGTGTTTTGACATCAGGGGAATATTAGTAAAAAGAAAATTTGACAAACTTACTAAAAAAATTGATTTAAAAGTCTATTACTGGTATATTTAGTATCATTATGTTGTGGAATTTCAATATAATTGTTCCATGAAAAACTGGAACTGCTAAAATCAGCATGTGTTTTTAAATATATATTTTAAAACATTAGTTGGCTCTTTATCATTTTTAGCCAAATTTATTAAGAGTCCTGGAGGAAGGTCCAAAGAGACTCCTGTGATAGACTGACACTGAGTAGTGCATCATCGCGACCTGGAATTAAAAGGATTCAGTGCTTTGCAAAATTATTTACAGGCAGAAATCTGGAAAGTATGGTGTGGTTTTTTTATTATTATTTTTTTTAGCCCCATTATCTGTTAGAAATCTGAAGCATTTCAGGTGATTTTCAGTAAAAAGTAGCAAACATTGACGCTTCTGACTCCAATCTGAACCTTGTAAGGTTTTTAAATTATTATAGAAGTGTGCTGCTGCTTACTGCTGTTGATTCATTTCCTCTAATTTATTGTTGTTTTTTGTGTGTCCCATTTATGGCAGACCCAAAAGAACTCTCTACAGTAAAAAGTATGGCGTGGATCTGATCAGGTATACACATGCTGCAAACACAGTGGTCTACAGTTCCAACAAAATCGATGGTATGTATTCAGAAGATGCATGTTGAAATGCATGCCGTTTTGATTTTAATTTCCGTTTTGTCGCACAATTTACTGCTGCCTTGGCTCAGGTGGTGATTTGTGTTGCGTAGCTGCTCGCCGCGCTGCTCGCTGTAGCCTGAGGTAGTTGTTTGTACAGTTTGAGGGTCTGTGATTCTACCCCTTACAGGAGCTAACTGTACAAGTGACTGCCTTGCCTACGGTTGAGTGCAATCTTCAGACGAGCTTCGGATTGATTTTTTTTTTCTTTTCTCTTATGCATGAAATAATCATGGATTTTGGTATGTTGGTGCCACTTATTTTGTTCTTTGTCTTTAAGACACTATCCGGTATTTGTCTCTTCATGACAACAAATATATCCGGTATTTTCCTGGACACAACAAAAGGTGAGTGCTGTCCTCGTGTTTCTGCGATTGGTTCGATGTGTCTGTGTTTTCACATTTCCTCTTCCTGTGTGTTTTCATCAGAGTGACGTCTCTGTCCATGTCTCCTGTGGATGACACGTTTATTTCCGGCTCATTAGACAAAACTATCAGGTTGTGGGATTTGCGCTCACCGAACTGCCAGGTAGACATCTAGTTTTACTCATTTGTTAGAAGTAGTTTGACACTTGTTCTGTGAAAATTAAACCTTCCTAACAGATTGAATTTGGAGTTGGTTTGTTCACGAGTTTAGAAAATGAATGCTGTACTTGCTGTTGTCTTTGCATTTTTAGGGTTTGATGCACCTGCAGGGGAAGCCTGTGTGCTCATTTGACCCAGAGGGTCTCATTTTTGCAGCTGGAATAAATTCAGAGATGGTTAAACTTTATGATCTGCGCTCATTTGATAAGGTATGGAAGGAGGTTTGACACTCGACTAGTTAAATTGATCCAAAAAGAACTAAATCGATCCCTCTTGCCAACAGGGTCCGTTTGCAACTTTCAAGCTTCAGTACGATCGGACGTGTGAGTGGACTGGACTCAAGTTTAGCAACGATGGAAAACTCATCCTTCTTTCTACCAACGGTGGGGCACTTCGCATTTTGGACGCTTTTAAAGGGGCAGTGCTGCATTCTTTTGGGGTAAGGATGGAGTCACTGCAAAATGGAGAATAGAAATCCGGTAAAAAAATATAAAAATACTGAAGGTTTTTATTTTCTGTCCACAGGGCTACAACAACAGTAAAGGCGTAACCTTAGAGGCTTCTTTCACTCCTGATTCTCAGTTTGTGATGATTGGTGAGTTTGTATAAGTGTGCATTTATGTGTCACTTTATTGGTGCTTTAAATTAACAGTTCAGCAAAAGAACATTTGATTTATTTGGAATAAGGATATAAGTGTTTTCATCTGAAACACAGAGCAGATTTCTGCTCACATGATGATATTTAACTTTTTTTTTGTTTGTTTTTTTTTTTTTTTTTTTTATTATTTTATTTTTTTTAATTCTTTTTTGAAATCCTACAGCTACTCTGAGACCAGGCAGGATGGTTGTTTCATTTAGAGACGGACCGATATCTGGGGAAATTTATTCATTGTAAACATGAAGTAATTTGTGTTCATGCTGTTTAAACTCAAAAATAAAATGGAACAAATTTTAACTAAAAGATGAAAATTAAATGTGCCAGTAGTTGAAGAAGATATTATAAGGTTGATTATGAAAACGAATTCTGTATTTTTTGTAGGACTGCATTCAATAATTACTTAGTTACTGATTATTCTGGTGATTGATTAATTAGATAAAAAATCAGCATATTCTATTTTGGATTTAACCACTATTATTAAAAATACATTATAAAATACCATTATGTAATTTTTTCATAATTGGAAAATAAAAATTGTATTGCCTACAATGAAATAAAACTGCATTCCTTTAGCATACGCTTGATCATTTGCAGCTAAAACAATACCTCTAACAGCAACATATTATTGTATTGTTGCAATATAATAATATAAAGATGCAATATTTGGTAGGTAAAGGTATTTACTGTGCAGTTCATTAAAATTTTGCTTGCCAATGCTATATTTCGGTAGAATTGTAGACTCACTGTCTGCACCTGATCTCAGTCATGTTGGAGATTAGGGAGCATAGTGATGCTGGTTAGCCAGAGTTACTTTCACTAATTCAATAATCTGCTTTTTATTACTGAATGTGAATGCTTACCTCCAACATTTGATGTGTTTTAGGCTCTGAAGATGGAAAGATCCACGTGTGGAACGCTGAAAGCGGGATGAAGGTGGCGCTATTAGACGGGAAGCACACAGGCCCCATTACCTGTCTGCAGTTCAATCCAAAGTTCATGACCTTTGCCAGTGCCTGCTCCAACATGGTGAGTTTAAGAGAAACAAAACGTTGCCTCAGACTTGACAGACATGTCTTTGAGAAAAAAGCTTAGCTATTAGATAAACTGATGTATTAAAAATAGAAAACATTAGACCATTACATTTTACAAATTTTTGTGCATTTCTTGATTTAATTTGTCTACATATGAGGGGCTTTTTTTCTGTGATTTTCTTTAGATTCTGTAAAAATGAAAACATGAAACAAGCAAAAAAATGAGAAAAATGCAACTTTAAACATTAATTGAATACTTTTTCTACTAAAACAGAATTTAAGTGCAATTTCTAATAAAATATTTAAGAGATTTTCTGCCTCTCTGTGTAGAAATAAACAGTCAAATATGTAAACGGTAATGGCTGAAGTGACTTAAATGTGATATGAATTTAATCTTTCAGGCTTTCTGGCTGCCGACCATTGATGACTGAGGAGTAGGAGCAGCAGCTGACCAGCAGGGGGCAGTGTGAATGTCACAAAATTAAATTGTAAATAATCAGTTGTAGGAATAAAACATGTTTGCTTTTTTATTTTTCTATTTAACATTAAATTGTTTTCCTTTGTAAAAAAAAATATAGTTTTGACTTCTTTTAAATTGTGCCAGTTTATATTTCTTTTTGGGTCTTTGGTATTTTTGAAATTAGTGTAAAAAGATTAAAATAACAGTTCCATGTTTTTTAAAGCATCTGGGAAGGAAATACATTTTTTAGATTCAAATTATAAGTTAAGATTTATTAATAGGATTGAATTTAATTTAAAGTGTGGCTTAAACGTGTTTTCTTTGTAAGGTTAGAGCTATAGTTATGTTGAAACCCAGTATGACCTGATTTTATTGGAGCATAAACATCTTACACAATCTGTTGACCATCAGAATCATCCCATGTGGAAATATTTGAGTTAAATAAGTCAGGGATAGCTTCCTTGAAGTCACTTTGGTTACATTAACTCATCAAACACTAAATATAATAGAAAAGCCGGTATTTATCACCGTCCTCAACCCAGACTGGTCACTCTTTATTAAATATTGGCTGGCCTTTGGGTTTACATCACCACAGTTTTGGGTCTCTGTCTCTTCACAGTCCAGCACCCCTGCCTGGACAGTCAGAGATGGAGCTAAATTTGGTAGAGGTGATCAGGTTCCACCTCTGTCCACATGACACTGTCCCAGTTACTTGAGCAGTGTCCCGTCTCATTCCGTCACACTTAGAGTCCAGACACACAGACACGCTCTGCAGTCTTGCATCAAAAGAAGGACGACTCTTCATACTTCATCCTAATTTGGACTGATTGTTTTGGTTCGGTGGAGTTCCTGGTTCTGCTTCGTCTTAAGCCATCCTCGCCTCCCTTCTTGAACACCCCCGCGCCTTGTTACCCACGGCGGGAGGAAGACCCAACTTGACCCGCCATGTTTCTCGCGTTGGTGGTGACGCCGGAGCTGCGGCAGTTCCTGGCCAGGGCAAGAGGCGGAGCGGCGCGCCTCATCAAAGTCTGCATCCAGGACGGTGAGTGACCCAGTGCAGGGTGCCACGCAGCCTTAAAAACCCTTAAATGGACGTGACAAACAGAAAATGTGCCAAACACCGGCCTTAAGTTGTGTCATCTGATAGGCAGTTGGAACTTTTCTGTGACAAAAGTTGCGCGCGCAGCCATCTTCGGTGCGTTCTATGGCGGCGGTTGGTAACTAGCTGCTAATATAGCCTAGCTAGCTTACGTCTATAACGGTTAAGTGCAAAAGTATCGCCATTTGGCTGTCGCTTGGCTGTACTCGATAATCCCCTGTATTTATAGTTTTTTTCTGTTTGAAATTTAATTCAAGCTGGCCTTAAAAAGTCTTCAATTTGACCTGCTGACATCGGATACCTCGCAGTGGACAAGCTGGTCCTCTGCACAGATTATTTGAACCTTGACTTAAATAAACCTTCAAGGACAGCCAGAGTTTATACAAAAACTTTGATAAGTTTTAAGTTCACAAAAATAAATCAGTACTTCACAGAACAAATATTTGTACAGTTTTGATATTCCTCTATTTTTAGTGGAATTGTTAAAATCTGATTATAAATGTAGCTTGATTTACTTTTTTACATTGAAGATAATTTCAAATCTTGGAAATAATTTTACTTCTCAATAAAATCTGGTAAAACGACTATAGGGGGGTAGATTACCGAAGAAATGTAGACATTATATATTGACTATACTTCAATGTATTTTTACTCAAGTAGAAGTAAAAAGTAGCTGACAAGAAATTACTCGAGTAAAAAATTATTTGGTTAAAAGGATATCAATTAATGACTAACTGATTAAAACATCAATTATTTAATATTTAAAAATTGCATCATCAGATGTACCAAAATATAAAGTTATGTGAAAATTTCAGTATTTTAAAGACCAAAATTTAAATATTCAGGAATAATAATAAATAATAATTCATTTCAGTGTAACGCTTATGAAACTAACAAAAACTACATGTCTGGTGACTTCTGAAATTTCATTTAAGTAAGAGCAACAATACTTAAGTTACTCAAGTTAAACTAAAAAGTAGCAAAAAATACTTGTAAAAGTAATTTTTTCCCAAAAAGTCACTCAAGTAAATGTAATTGAGTGCGAGCTAACTCTGAAAATGACCTTTTTAAATATCTTAGAAAACAGCTGATTCTCTGTGATTCAAATGAAAACAACTCCAAACTATTTTCAGTTTTCATGGCTGACCTCTCTCGAGCAACAGAGCATGTGTCGAGAGCATTTAAGTTCCCTGGTATTCACAGCAATGACAAAGCGGAGAAAAAAAAAAAAAGGAAAGTAGGGGAAAAGCTAGTCTTGTCCTCAGGAAAATGAAAACCAGAGCAGCTGTCGTCTGAAAGCAAGGCAGCCTGTAAGAAGAAAAGCTGGATGAAGCAATAACTTTCTAGGCAACTGTTTATTTCCGAGGTGTTTACATCATGTTTTTGTGTGGAACCAATGTCACGCTGTAATATGATTCATGTCAGATGCAATGTGGGAAGTTTTTGGGGCTATCTTTGTGAACAGAAGAGATCACTTGAAGTATTTGGTCACATATTTTTAAGGCTGATGTCAGACAGCGTAGTGACAGAGAATGGCTGGTGCTTTAATCTGATACTTATCATACATACAGTCCTTCGCAAAAATATTCACACCCCCAATAAAATGTATTCTGTTGGGATTTTATGTGATAGACTAAGAAAGTAGAAGGACTTTTATGAATTAAAAACTTCCATTTGTGTGAATTTGTGCTCGGCCCTCTAAATCAGTACTTTGTAAAAGCTTCTAGAGCTGCACATCTAGAGACATTTTCACCCAATCTTTGTGAAACAGCTCAGACAGATTGGATGGAGAGCATGAAGGGACTTTCACAGATTTTCAGTAGGATTATGACCTAGACTTTCACTAGACCAAAGGGCTGTAACTTTTACAATCCAGAGAGCCATTTTGCCCTCAGTTAAGCTCCATAAAACTTAGACACACAAATGTTATATGACCTGTTGAAAAACCTCAACTTATAATTTTTAATAAACATGTACCTTAAGAAGTTTGTGATTTTTAAAAGAATTTACTATTTGTTGGTCAATTTGCAGTTGTGAAAAACTCTCTAAATTTTAATTGATTAATCTACTTTCTGAGATCTTTAAAGTTTAAGATATTTATTCCTAATCCCACTTGAAAGGTATTCATATTTTCCTCCCTGACATTTCCAGTATGTTCCCTTGTGTTCATGATGCTGTTTGTTCACTGATGCTCTCTGAAATTATACCAGATTAAAATACATAAATATGTACTTTTCTTTACTATAAATGTGACTTCTAAATGAAATTTACTGGATTTCATTTAGAAATATTTGAGTACAGCAGGCTATCTCGTCTTCTTTTAACTTCACAGTTATGTACCAATTTGTGTTTGTCCCTCATAAAATCTCAATAAGATACATTGTGGTTTGTAGTTTTAACGTGAAAAGTATGAGGGGGAAAGAGTTGAGACATTTTAACAGTGATGTCATGAACACTTTGATAATGACACAATAAAAAGTAGGGCAGAGAAAACGTGCATACATTACTTACTGATTCACTTTGTAATTAAAACCATATTATAATATTCATGTACCAGTTCAATGGCTAAAGAGCCAACAAATAAATTATATTGCATAGACAAAATGGTTACAGACTAACTCGAAACAAGAAAATCTACAGATAATATTAACAATGACAATAATTTTAAAATTGAAAAAAAAAATATAGAGAATTTTATTTATTTTGTATTTATTTATTTAGTGGGTTTTACATTTTTGTCTTCATGATTCTCTGGGGTGAGAGGAGGTCAACATTTTTCAAGAAGGGGCCATTGCCCCCTCGTGTCCTCCTCTTGGGGGCGCCACTGGGAATATCTGGTCAAATGAATGCTGTTTAGGCTGCATCCTGATATTTAGTTTCCAGTTCAGGTGCCACTAAATATAACATTTTGAAGCACAGATGATGAGTTTCCCGAATGATTCAAACATGAATATTAAAGTTGGGCGGTACCAGTACTGAAAACAGAACCCTTCACCCGGATGATCAGCCTAAATCTACCCCTATTCACTTTGCTCTCTCGGGTCGCCGCTCGGCTATTTGAACCAACACGTGACGCGCTCTGCCTATTCCAGTGTCAAAGGTAAAACAAGATCTCTGCATCTGATTGCATCACCCTGAGGTTCATATTCACCGAGCAGACAGAGAAACATCTCTCAGTCAGTAGTTAGGTTCATACTTGTTTAGATGCATAAAGACTGCAGAGAATGGCTGATGGAAAGTATGTGCATGCAGAGCTGGAATGTGTTGCAGCTCAGAATAGAAACTTGCCCCAAGAGAGTCGAAGGGGAAAACCCCCGTGTACCCAACAAAGGACACCAGACTCCAGGTTTCTGTTTGTGTTTCACACAAAATAACCCAGCTGCATTTTTAACTCCAAACCTAATCTTATTTTCTTTCATCATAGCAGCCAAGGTTGTCAGATTATACTCAGGAAGGCTGTGCAGTCGATATCTGGGGAACAAATACATGGTTATGTTGGTTTAATCTGTTTTTAATTTAGCTTTTTTATATAACTTTCCAGGACAGTCAAGCAGTTCATTTTAGGGGAATTTACCTAATCTTCTAGATTAGGGGTTGGCAACCATTTTGGCCCTCAAATAAAGGTCGTGTCACATGGTCTTCCAAAAAAAGTACAAAGCCTGTCACAATAAGCAGTTAACCAATTAATCCCATGATAAATTAAAATGAGCTCCATAATTTCCATTTTGATTACATTATAATCCAGTTTACTATTGGTTTTGGTTTTTATTCCTGTTTTATTTACTATTTTAGACATTTAAAATATCTTCCAGCCTCAGTGTTTGGTGTGTTTTTTTTTTATTTTTATTTAAAGTTTATTGGTCTTTGAGAGGGCAAACTTGATTATTATGTTGGTATCATTAAATTACTTGAAGATTGTCTC